ATTATTCGAGAATATGGATGTTAAAACACCTGTAACCAAACGACATGCTGTATGTGATGATGGGTTTTTTTGTGTTTTTTTTGGTCTTGTTTTTTCTTATTGTTGTGTGTATGTGTTGTCTATGTAATAAAAAATATATATATAAAAAAAGCTAATGCCATCACCATCTTTCTTGGTTTCTTATTGTTTTATTTATATAATGCCAAAATAATTTCAAATTCTTATTGTTTAACAGAAATCAGTTTTAGTTCAGTGAAACAATCTCAGCTAAAAATAAGTATCCAACAAACAAAATTGAAATGTTGCGGGGAAAAAAGAGTAGTTAACTTATTTTGCAAGGTAGGACATTTCTTTACAGAAAAGTAAGGCCTCTTCTACATGGCTGAGCATTTCATTTCCAAGCCATACCAATAACTTTGGCATGGTTTACAGTGACAAGCAACTATCCCCACTTTTCATTTTTCGTGCTCACATGTATTCCTGCTCTCCAGCTGACCATAACAGGATAGCAGCAAAGCCTCTGTTCCTTTTGGATAGGAAAGCTTTAGGGAACAAGACATGGGCTCATGGAACTTTGAATCTGAAGTTACAGCAATCTTGGCAATAGGATGGGACAAGGAAGAACATATTTTATGTTATTTGCCCCAAACCTATAATGATTTAGGCTATGTGCAATTAAATAACTACCAACAAAAGAGAACATTTGTAGATCATGGTTGAAATGAAGGTTCCTTGGTGGTCTATGAGCTTGTTTTCTTGCAGATGTTTTATTACCCAACAAACTAACATAATTTATTCTAGTCATAATGCTGATGATGTTACCTAGTTTGGGTAAAGAAATGTCTGCAAAAAAACAACCAAGCTCATAGACCACCAAGGACCTCTCAATTAAATAATTAAATAATTCCTAAAATAAAATTCCAAAATCTAAGCATCTGGAAAGGAACACAATCTTTCTAAAGCAATAAAGTACATAAGATCCCCACTGACTCTAGTCCAAGAGCGGGTGAAGAGCCAAATATTCAGGAGTTTTTAAAAGGCGTCCATGGTGGGGCCAGATTAACAGAGGTTTTTCTGTGACAAAGAAGATATCAAGTAATATTGTTTAATGAAACATGCCAACTTTGTCCAATTATAGAGCTTGGGCAGAAACCAAAACAACCAGGCACTCATTTAAATAACTAAGCCCCAAACCATAAAGGTCATGCAGATTGCCCTAGTTGGAATTCCAGAAGAAATAAATCTTGTATACTAAACTATTGCATAATCTTCTTTACATCTTTGTAAACAAATCATGTCATAGCATATAACAAAACTATCTTGACTTTGGGCAGCTAAGAAAAATGCAACCTGAGTAGTACTTTGGTAAAAAAAAGCCCTGGATAATATCTGGGCAGTAAGCTAGCAATCCTTATGGTGTTCAAGTATTGCTTCAGTTCTTTTGGGATTTCACCCAAGGTGCCTATTATTATCCTTGCTTGCTTTTGCCACAGTCGTTCTAATTCTATTTGTAAGTCTTTGTATTTTAGTGTCTTCTCCAGTTCTTTCTCTCCCATTCTGCTATCCACAGACACTGCCACATCCACTATCCAGACTTTTTTGTCTTTCTTAATGACACTTGTTAAGTTTGGGATGTTACGTGGCAGGTGCCTTTCTTTTTGAATTCTAAAGTTCCAGAGCAATTTGACTTCTTCATTTTCTATTACTTTCTTTATTTCATGGTATCACCAGTTCTTGCTCACAGGCAAATTATATTTCTTTCAGATCTTCTAATGCAGTGGTTCTCAACCTGTGGGTCACAACCCCTTTGGGGGTCGAAAAACTCTTTCACAGGGGGCGCCTACGGCCATCCACCTCCACTGGTGTCGCCCATGCTCAGGAGCGCGTCCTGAAGTGGCATGAAGAGCGCCAGGTGGTGAAGCAGCCTCCTCCCACTTCTGGGCGCAACCCAGACACCGCCCTGCCCGGTCTCCATGCCAGGGAAA